CACACACACACACACACACACACACACACACACACACACACACACACATAAAAAAAAAAGAGAGAACTGCAGAGTCCTTTATATGTTGGCCAACTATTCCTGAACATGAGGCCTGCCCTGGAGAGGTTGATGTACTCAATGTCACTCCCTTGGAGAAATCTGATTTTCCCTTTCATAGCAGGTATAAATGAGAGTTGAGTTGTTAACCTTTACTCTAAAAGGTTGGTTTTCATTCATTCATTTAAAAAAAATATAATAAGACAAATAAAAAAAACCTATCACATTGGAGTTGAACAAAACAAAGAGCCCATGAGAAGGCATAAAGAATTAGAGACCAACTCGTTTACATATTCAGGAATTCCATAAAAACACTAAACTGGAAGCCATAATATAAGCACATATGAGGAGCTGGTGCAGACCCATGCAGGTCCTGTGCATGCTGCTTCAGTCTTTAAATTCTTTCGGGCTTTGCTCATGTTGATTTAGAGGGCCTTGTTCTGGTGTCCTCCATCACCTCTCCTACATTCTTTCTGTCTCCTGGGATTCTCTGAGATCTGAGAAGAGACTGTATGAAATTAAAAGTACCTATTGACCCAATATCTGGCACATTTTAGGCTCCCTATAAAAGGTAATCTTATGGAAGTACTGGTTGTGATTCCACTCCCCGCATCCATGTGGCAGCAGCCCACAGAAATCTTTAACTCTAGTTCCAGGGGATTTGACACCCTCCTCTGGCTTTCTCTGACATGAGCACGCACATGGTGTACATACATAACTGTAGGCCAAACATCCATACATATAACCTTTTGGAAATGTAGTCCTGTGGGTCAAAATGAGAACCATGTTACTAAGAGTAACATCTCTAGGGTACAAAGTACTCTAGAAGGAGATCTTGGTTACTGACCAGGATAATTACATGTCATTGGTAAATATTCCAAGTAAGGATAGAGTAGTGGTTATGAGCATGAACCCAGGAATCAGAATGCTTAGAGTGAAATTCTCAGGCTCTCTCTTACTACTTGTAGGATCTGAGGCAGAGTATGGATCTTTTCTGTGCCTCAATTTCATCATCTGCAAATGGATGATAGTAATCTCTCCTCTACAAGATTGTCAAAAGGATCAAGTAAAATGTTCAGAGCTGGCAATGGCACATAAACACAAACATAAGGATTAGCTATGACATCTTCAATTTTCACTTATGATTGTGGTGGGTTTTTGTTGTTGTTGTTGTTGTTTGGTTGGTTGGTTGGTTTCTGGTCTGCAAAAGTCAAAGTCATGATGAATTAATGCATGCGGTATCCAGGTCCCTCAAATTTATTTAAAAGGCTTTATAAATGGAACTGCCCCAAGCCTTAATCCAATCAGGTAGCATTCAGAACTTGCTTGCAATCCTTAGTTGATCAGGTTTTGTTGGCATTCTCCTGCTGTCCAAATTGAGAGTCCCAGATTTAAGGCTTCACCAAACACAGTATCTTTTGTGAAAAGAAACTAGATATTAAACAGGATACAGTTCTCCAGGGTCTGAATTGCAGCCACCAGGCACCAAGATTTTTAAGCAATTTTGTGAAGAATTGGTTTTCATCTGACTCATTGCCAAAACAGATTGAAATTATACCCAAGCATTTCTAACAGTTTAACAAAAACCAGTGGTAAAGAAAATCAAAATCCATAAAGCAAAAATCCATTTGTGTTCAGAAATTTATAGAGAAAAACAAATAAAGCCCAGCCAGAAAAGAAGTTAAGGGATGGTAGATTTGTAAATTGTGCCACTGAGGTTAAAAGAAAAATGACTAAAAACATCCTGGGTACACAATAAGGTGGTGTTTTCAGTTTTAATAAACATGTAGATAAGGACTACTAGAGAGCCTATGAACAATTTATGCTAAG